TCAGATCTTACAGAATTATAATCTTTAGAATATAAGGGACCTTTGATATTAGTCTGTCCTAATTCTTACCTTTCTCAATGAAGCTGTCTCTTCATCTTTTGGGGGGGAAAATCTCAAGATGTGTGACATTAGTATAGAGCTATAAAACTTTTCAGGTTTGTTCCAGTGATTTCTAGCTTTTTGCTCTTGGATTTAAAAACACTTTCTTAAGTACAATGTATTTATTACCACCAGATATAAAAATTAAGTAGGAAATAAGGATTTTTTTTTCATTACATTTTGTTTGTTCATTTCCAGCTTCTCTCTCTCTGCAAGTGAGATGTGTTTCAATTGTTCTTCATATTAGCTCAGTTCCTGCTTATTCAAGAAATAGTCCCATTCTCTAGACTTACCTCCACTCAGTTACATTGCTTAAAAGTTTATCCAGTCCAGAGATTGAGTTGATTGACTACTGAATTGAGTTGATTGACTACTCAGCATATCACTCTTTCCATATTCTGGGTCTGCCTGTGGTTAAGTCCATTCTGTTCTCCACTAACAAAAATACCTGCATCTGGGTGATTTATAAAGAATAGAGGCTGATTTAAAGTTCACAGTTTCAGAGGTCCAGCATTAAGGGACTGCATCTGGTAAGGGTCTTGCTGATGTAGTAGCTTGTCTGTTAAATCCCAGGGCTGTCATATGGCAACAGCTTGACAGCTGCTCACGTGTCCCTATGTCTGCACCATCACCTAAAATCACTTCCCACAGGCTTCACCTTTCAATACCATAATCAGATTAAATCTCTATCCTCTTAAATCAGTCACCATCAAAATCAAATCTCAGCACATAAATTTTTTTTTTTTGGAGAGGTTTTCGCTATAGGGCGCGTGTGCTCGCCACGCCAGACAGACAGACAGAGACATAGAGACAGAAAGCGAGAAATCCCCCCCCAGAGGGGATGGTCGCGCCGCAATCCCTTCTCCTCCATTCTCCTCTCAGGATCTTGGGCGCGCACGCACACGTGCCCGACGTGAGTTTTAAGCCACTGGGTCCAGAAGGCGAACCACGGTCAACTACGTGGGAGTCCAGCGACATAGCCATTACGCTAACTGCTGGTTTCCTCAGCACATAAATTTGGAGGGGACACATTCAAACCATAACAAGCCTAAGATAGTCTCAAACTTGGTATGGTTGCACCATTGCCAATTCTTTCTCATTTGCATTATAGTTGTTTTCAGGCTAAAGTTAATTCTGTTAAAAGCTTGTTCCCCATATAATTTGTTAGATTAAGTATGTCTCTAAAAATGTATTTAGCGGGGGTTTCACAAAAGGCCACTTCAACTGAAGTGACAGGACCATAAAATTATTCGAGAGGAAGGTATGTTAGTAAACCTATGAATCAGCTTTAAAGCTTAGCTAAAACAAAGTTGTCAATAAGCATGATTTTGCAATAATGTCTTTCGATTTAGGCAACAAATTATCTGTGAGGACATTACTTATAATCCCCACTGCTAGCATTTCCATTTTACTCTCTAGAACTGATTATGATTGTGTGTCTCAGCTTATTTTACGTATATAAATATATAATTAGGTCTGGATATCCTTTATTGATTTAAACACTTAATGGAATCTTAGTGCCCATGTTTATATAAAATTGAGCCACTAGTATGATTACTTGATTAGATAAAGGTTATATCAATTCCGTGAATTGAATCTTACTGTATCTAAAAGAAATACATTTTATATTCTATACTAGAGTTTTATAATGCTTAATATTACAAAAATATGAGTCAAGGTAGTTATTGATTCAAGCTGCTACTTTTTACTTTTACCTTTTCAAGATTTTACAGAATGAGCAACTAGATGAAATATCTCCTCTTGGTAATGAAGAAGTTTCAGCAGTCAGCCAAGCATGGTTTACAACTAAAGAAGATAAGGATTCTCTAACTAACAAAGGTAAGATATACCATGAATTTTAGTGTCCAGTGGGGGGAAAAAATGGAACCAGAAAAGGCTTATAGTCATCGAGATTCTGAGTTGATCCTTATTGCACTCGAGGAGGTACAATAATTGAGCTTTTCCAGTTGAATTAAATTTGGCCCTACATTACTTTGAATGAGGCTAGGAAGCCAACATTTGTTTTTCAGTAATTAATGATTTTCTCTTATGATATGAAATAGACTTTGTCTTTCTAATTTTTGAACAAATCCATAATGGTGACATTTGAAAGATATTACAGTTATTGCTTATGAAAGTAGAAGCCAATGAGATCAGCAGATGGCGTAATGGTTACGTCACCGGACTTCCACATAGTCAATCATGATTTGCATCCTGGACTTGAACCTGGATGCTTAAAACTCATGCCTGGTGCGTGTGCATGCGTGTCCAAAATCCCAAGAGGAGAATGAAGGAAAACAGATGATGTCATGGTCATCCCTCCTGGGGGGTAATAGCTCACTTTTTGGCTCTGTCTGGTACATGTGCCCTATAGCAAAAATCGCTCAAAATGAAGGGGAGAGAGAGAGAGAGAGAAAGAAGGAAGGAAGGGAAGGAAAGAAAAAGAAAGAAACCAAGCCTCTTCAAGGATCTGCTCATTTTGGTCTGATAGGTGGCCTAGAGCTTTAAAGTAACAAACACTAGTCCTACTGTACTCAGGCATAGCAGGGGAAACAGCTATAAAAACGTGGGTGTTGGCTCAACTCTAGTGGTCTATGTTGGTAGGGTGCCACTTCACAATACTAGAGCCACATGGGAGTCCTTGGTTTCAAATCCCAGGTTGACCTCAGTATACTGAGTATATCTGTGATCCTGGCTAACTGGGAGTGTAGGGGCAGGATCATGGTATGTTGAGAGCCTGTCATAGATACCCATCTGTCTATCTGTATCTCTCTCTTTCATTAAATAATAAAGAAACAAACTAGGGGGAAGAAAAATGGGTCCCAGACTAGGTGGTACAGTTAGTAGCATACTATACTACAGTGCAGGGTTTGCATTTATGGGCTCTTCTCCCCAGCCCTCAAACATGCTAGGACAAGTGCATGTACCTCAGATCCTGACAAGCTGGAGGACTGGAGGAAAGGGATTGTGACATGATGAGACCCAGTCAAGGGTCCTTTTCTTTTAGTCTCTCTTTTAAGCACACAGAGTGTCATAGATTTTTTAAAAAGTAGGGATTTGTTATATATGCCACTCTAAGGTAAGAAAACGAAGCAGAAATAATAAGCTGTTTTCAACTACTAAACAGTAAATACTCTTTAACAATACCTATTCACTTGATAAGTGCTGCATTAGGTTTACCTTTCCCTGGAATCTTCCCTACATTCTCTTTAGCCCATAAAATTTATTATTCACTAAAGAAATTTTTCAAAAAGTTTTTAAGTGTGATTTTTAAATTTTGATCTATTTTTAAGTTTATTTATTCTGTGAATGAGAGAGACAGAGAGACACCACTCAAAATAGGATCTTGACACTACCGTCCATCCTAAATTTCAGCCAACCCCAGATCATGGGCATATACATGCCTAGCATAGTATACTCTAGGTCATCTCCTGGATGGAGCCTTCCCTGTGAGTTAGCCGCCTGGTACATCATGTTTTACCATCGCTGCATCATGTTTTACCATTGCATCACTGTCCAGCCCCTTGTTTCTTATTTTTATAAGTCTTTGTGTTTTTGTTTTTTTGGTTTTTTGTTCTGTTTTGTTTTGTTTTGTTTTAAAGCAGTTTATACTGCTAAAAGGAAAAGAGAAATAATACTTCAAAAATCTTTAAGAAATGAGAAGCCATTAGGTGGTGTGGTTAAGAGTTGCTGGAGTCCCACATGGCTGATCACGGTTCAAGTCCCTGACCCAGTGGCTTGCTTGCTTGCTTGCTCGCTCTCACATGTGCGTGCGCTCTCTCTCTCTCTCTCTGTCTCTCGCTCTTTCTCTCCCCTCCTCCCCCCACCTCTTCTCTCCCACCCCTCCTGTCAAATTAAAATATATATAAAAAGTAAATAGATAAAATTCAATAGAATAATTCTTTTTAAAAAATCTTTAAGAAATGCTTTTTTTAGGATCAGTAGATTTTTTTTTAAGAAAAGCGGTTTTAACTTTTCATAAATCAAAGAAATGCTAAGGAATTTTGCTTAAAACTTAAAGCCTGGAAACAGGTTAGTATTTTGTTCATAGTAGGTACATGAACCTATCGACGGCTCAAGACAGGACAAAACTCTTAGAACCAGACAACAAAGCCTAGAAGAAAAGCAGCAATATTTTAGTCAAAAGTCACAGAATGCTGTTTCACCAGTTCAGTCTCATGTACTTAATCTGTCTTCTGTTGTGGTTCAATCTTCCCAATTGAATTCTGAGATCTTTTCTTTCCATATGAAAGATAATCTGGCTTGGTACAGTATTCTTGGATTAAATTGCTTTTCCCTTAACATTTTGAATCTATTTTCCCGTTCTTTCCTCACTCACATTCCACTGTTAGCCTGATGGGATATCCTTTGTAGGTAACTTGACGTTTCTCTCTTGCCACTCTGAGTATCTTGTCTCTGTCTGTGGTTTAGGTCATTCTGTCTATAATGTGTCTTGGAGATCTTGGGTTTATTCTATTTGGGGTCCTTTGTATTTCTTGGGACTGGATCTTTGAGTTCTTCTCTAGGTTTGGAAAGCTTTCTTGCAGGATTTCATAGAATAGATTGTCAATACCCTTATGAGTCTCTTTGCCTCCTGGGATACCAATTATCCAGATGTTTGGACGTTTGATGGTATTTAGTATTTCTTGTATATTATTCTCATTGTTGGGGGCAATTTTCTCAGTCTTTGTGGTGGATTTTTCTAGGCCAGCAATTTTCTACATCTGAGATTCAATTTTCTGTATGATATAGTCTGCTTTTAATACTTTCAAGGGAGATTTTGATTTCCTGTATTATAGCCTTCATCTTTAACAGGTCCCTTTGATTCTTTTTTAAAATGTACAATTCCTCTTTTAGATCTTGCAAGAATTTCCTCACCTCCCGGAACTCGTCAGCTCCTTTCTCCTGGCTCTTCCGCAGCTCATGGTCTCTCTTCTCTTCCATCTCTGTTAGCTTCGTCATTATGAATATTCTAAATTCTTTATCAGACATTTTCATGATTTCCATTGAACTACCTGTGGATGAAGAGGAATTATTCTTTTCGTTTGGAGGAGAGGTATTTTCTTGCTTTCCCATATTTCTTGTGGCCCTGCGGTGATTTCTAGTCATCTGATGGATGATGTGTTTCTTCCTAATTCTTAAAGTTCAATCTGAGCGTTCAGGAGTATGTAGCAGGAGGTGATCTGGAATCTCTTTGCCGTTCCGTTTTTATCTCTTCGTGCAGCAGATTCAGTGGATATTGAGGAATATGTTAACCCTGATAGTATTCGGATGTTTGGCTATGGTTCCCGTAGATCCATCTAAAAACCCAGTGAATGGAGATTGAGGAACATAGGGATAAGATAAAAAGAAAAGGAACCAGAGAGAGAGGAAAAAACAACAACAAAGAAACAGAAAAAGAAGGAAAAAAAATCAAAAACAACTAAAAAAAATTTAAAAATCAAAATAGAAAACCGCACTGCACAGAGCCATGGAGGAATCTTCTGAAGGCTTGCGCCTTGCCTCTCATGGGCGGGAGGGGATTATTAGCGAGATAAAGGTGAGGCTGAAAGCCAAGAAAATACTTTACCTTAAAAATTTTTTTAAAGGAAAAATTATCAAAACATGAGAAGACAGGGACAGAGGCAGAGAGAGACAGAGACAGAGAAAAGATTAGAGGGGCTCTCTACCACTCAAGTTTATGGGCTGGAGGCTGAATTTTCAGTAGAAAGTCTTCATTTTTCTTTTTTTCTTTTTTTTCTTTCTTTTTTTTTTTTTTCGATAGGGCGCGTGCACTCGCCAGACAGACAGAGAGACATAGAGACAGAAAGTGAGAAATCACCCCCCAGAAGGGATGGTCACGCCGCAATCCCTTCTCCTCCATTCTCCTCTCGGAATCTTGGGCACGCACGCACACATGCCCAGCTTGAGTTCTAAGCCACCGGGTCCGGGATGTGAACCCCGGTCGACTACGTGGGAATCAAGCGACATAGCCATTACGCTAACTGCTGGTTCCCTAAAGTCTTCATTTTTCTTTTTCCCCTGAATTCACTAGTTCTCAGGAGCCATGGAGGAGTCTTCTGAAGGCCTGTCCCTTGTCTCTCCTGGGTGTGGGACCAACAGATGTTTCAATGGTTACATCATTGGACTCCCACATAGGTGACCACAGTTCAAGTCTTGGACCCAGCAGCTTAAAACTCAGCACTGGGTACATGTGCATGCATACCCAAAATCCAGAGAGGAGAATGAAGGAGAAGGAATTGCAGCATGGCCATCCTCCCAGGGAATGATTTCCCTCTTTCTGTCTCTGTCTCTCTGTGTCTCTGGTGAGCACATACGCTCTGCAGCAAAAAAAAAAAAAAAAAAAAAAGAAAAGAAAAGAAAAGAAAAACTAAAATTTTACTAACCTCCCTGCCTTTATGCTAGTTATCATATAATCTCCTTTTACATAGAGGAACCAGAAGTTAGCGGAATGGCTATGTTGCTGGACTCCCATGTAGTCGACCGCAGTTAGAGTCCCAGACCTGGTGGTTTAAAACTCACACTGGGCGCATGTGCGTGCTTGCCCAGGATCCCGAGAAGAGAATGGAGGAGAAGGGATTACAGCATGGCCATCTCGCTTTCTGTCTCTGTCTCTCTCTGACTGACTGGCGAGTGCATGCACCCTAAAGCAAAAACGTCTCCAAAAAAAAATACAAAAAGCAACCGTACTTCGGGATCTTTTGTATTTTGGATGAAATGATAAATTAAACTAGCTACATTTTATTCTCACAGATTATGTCATTTATTTATGTTTGAGAGAGATTTTTGCTATGAGGCACGTGCACTTGACAGAGAGAGACAGAAAGATAGAAAGTGAGGAATCACCCCCTGGGGGGGCGGGGTGACCACACTGTTACTCATTCTCCTCTTCGGATTTTGGGCATGGACACACACACACACACACAGACCCAGCATGAGTTTTAAGTCGCCGGGTCCAGGACTCGAACTACAGTTGGCCACGTGGGAGTCCAATACTTTAACCACTATACCACCTGCTGGTCCCCACAAATAATTGATAATTATAAAGAAAAGCTCAAATTATTTTATTCCTCTTAAGGAACATTTTCTGTAACTTTACTTGTTTTCTTTTAAAGGACATAAATGGAAGCAAGGAATGTGGTCAAAGGAAGAAATCGATATTTTGATGAACAATATTGAACGCTATCTAAAGGTATCTTATGGCATATTTTTGTGTTTCACTAGTTTACTACCAATTGCAAAAATATCTGAGCAACATATAGTATGTGCTTATGAGGAACTTTTTACTAATTTCTGTAACAGATCATTAGTTCATATGTTATAGCTTAATTCTAAGGTGATTATAGTAAACTAATGTTTTTAAAGAAACCTCTCATTTTAAAATAGCTTTATGGTTTTAGTTATCATCCCAAAGTTTAGACAAAATAGCCTATCAACTTCATAAAGCCTTATCTTTTTAAGCAGCCTATAAATCAGAGTTTAGTTTATATTTTCTAAAATCTAAAGTACATATATTTGAGTGAATTGATGTCATAGTCTTTCCCTTTTAAATAAAATTTTTAGTTCATTTTTAGACTTGTTTCTTATTAGCCAAATCCTCTTGACTTTTTTTTGAGGCACTAGAGATATGAGTTGTCTTAATATGTAGGGTTTGCCTTTAAAAAGCTAGTGGTCCATTTTGAAAGGCTAAAACCAGGTAAAGAATGGCGCTGGCTTTTTACCATGTAATTGGTATATGTCAGGGTTCTGTGTGGGTTCAGAGAAGGAGGAGTTTGTTTTCATAGGACTGAAATTTTTGAAAGAACAAGGATTTGAGCTGAGTCTTAAAGGGTTAGTATTTAGGTTAGAGTAGGACTGGAAGAACAGCATGAGGAGCAAGAAATCAGAAATCTGAACCAGGATATATTAAATTAACTCTTTAACTTGAAATGAGATAACTAACCTCCGGAAAACTGGGCTTTAAAGTCGAAGCCAAAGAATTAGAACTTTATCCTATCAGAAATGCAAAGCATTAAAGAGTTTATAAAGCTGGTAGCTTAAATTAAGTGAGAGATCCTAATTTGCTGATCATCCCCATAATGGAGTTAGATTCAAATAGTACATATTTGAGATATAGACCACCTAGCATTGTTAGCATTGTTTGGGGAAGGAGGGTGGTGTACAATATTTGTTTACCCATCATTTCAACCATTTGTCATTACTTCATTCATGTTGAGTTGCTTTTTTTATTTTCTTCTTTCACAAAAAGTGCATGCATGCACAAGAGAGCAAGAGAGAGATAAACACAGACAGGCACTCTCAACAGGGCTTCATCATGACACAATCCTCTTCTCTCAGCCCCTCTAACTAGTCAAGAACTTGGGCTTATGTGCTAGCATGTTTCAGAATGAGTAGCAGTCTGAACCTGCGATCAGCTATGTGACTTTATTATACCACCTGTACCACCACCAAGATTGGACTAGACTGTCCACATTCTTAAGCCTAATTTTAACTGCAGTCTTCTCAAGCTAATTTGGCAAGCTACAATGAGGTTTTTTTTGTTGTTGTTGTTTTTTAATCTTTTTTTTAGAGAAGAGATTTTTGCTGTGCTGCACATGTGCTTCCTGGAAAGACAGGGACAGAAAGTGAGAAATCACCCCCCCAGGGAGATGGCCATGCTGCAATCCCCCCTCCTCTGTTCTCCTGAGATCTTGAGCACACACACCTGCCCACATCCATACCCAGAGTGATTTTCAAGTCACTGGGTCCAGGACTCAACTAGCTGTTGGCCCTGGGAGAGTCCAGTGACATAACCACTATGCCATCTACTGGCCTTTATTTGATAAAGTTTGTTTCCCTCTATATAGGTCTTTGGTGATTTGCACAAGATTTAACCCTGATACTTTAAATTTTGATGTTTTCCTAACTGACAACTTTAAAAAATACTCTGTAAGCTTTGAATAGAAATACAAACAACTTTATATATTTATTTTGTATCCAGTGATCTTTATAGAGTAGTTATTAAAATCAATTATTTTTTCATGCATTTTGGGGTTACTATTAATACCTATGAGGATACTTCAGAAAAATCTTGGGAAAAATCAAAATATGAGTTTGCTTTGGTTCAAAAAGATTGAAATCCATGCAAAGTTGTTTTCATAATATACTTTTTCCATACATAGTTTTCCATGTTAAATGTATATTATGTCTTCAAGAAGACCCCCTCATATACAACATCTACAATTGATTGTTCTTTTTCAGTCTTTATACTTTTCAGATTTTCCCTTGGATTATCAGCAAATCCTAATTTACTCAGAATTTTATCATATGAATATTTTTCCCACATCTATCGAGGCTTTACACTTTTTCTACAAATATGCTGATGTGATTAATTAGTAATTTTTCTGAAGTTAGCACAGACTTTATTTGCGGGGAAAATGTATTTTGGTATTGAGTATTAACCTTTTTGGGGGGGGGTTTCGCTATAGGGCACGTGCGCTCGCCAGACAGACAGAGACATAGAGACAGAAAGTGAGAAATCACCCCCCAGGGGGGATGGTCACGCTGCAATCCCTTCTCTATTCTCCTCTCAGGATCTTGGGCACGCACGCACACGCGCCCGGCGTGAGTTCTAAGCCACCAGGTCCAGGACGCGAACTGCGGTCGACTATGTGGGAGTCCAGCGACATAGCCATTACGCTAACTGCTGGTTCCTTTGAGTATTAACTTTTTGATACATCTTTGGGTTCAGTGTGCTAAAAATATTAGGATTTGGGAATCTCTCATAATAAATGTACTTTTCCTGAAAATTTTTTTTTGAATTATCTTTCTCTGGTTATGCTGTTGAGATTATCCTGTTGTGATAAAAATGAGCCAAGAAATAGGGCTTAGGCAGTGGTAAAATGCTGCTCTGGGAAGCTGATCCACAGGAGAAGGTCCTGGTTTCACATCTGGAGACCTTTCTGGATGGCTGGGCAGTCATATGCCCATGGTTCTGGACTAGCTGAGACTAGTGGATGACAGTGTCAAGACCCTGTTGGGGAAGCTGTCTGTTTTCTTTCTCTGTCACACTCATAAAAGAAAGAAACTTTAAAATGATTGAAGAAGTGGCTACACTTTTTATCTTTAATCTAAAATAGTTTAAGATCAGAATTCTCTGTCTTCTGACTGATAGGGTTACACATAATATCATCTGGACCTGTTATTTTTATTGTGGGAAGACTAATAACTGATTAATTCTCTTGATCTATGCCTATTTGATTTTCTCTTTCAGAGTCAGTTTTCATAAGTTGGCTTAGTCTATGAATTTATTTAATTTAGATTGAAATCTATTGCCATAAGATTGCAGTGGTCTTTTATTAACTATAATCTCTCCAATATCTCTACTTAGGTTTCATTTTTTTTATTGTAATATGTCTTTATTTTAACAGAAGTTTATTGTCTCAAGTAAACTTCTTAGTTTTAATGAGTCTTTTCAAAGAACCAATTTCTAGATTTGATTTATGCTTTGATTTTCAATTTCATTAATTTTCCTCTTACATTCCATTCTATTTTCTTTAGGTTTCTTTTTAATTTTTTATCATTTTAAAAAGAGTTGTCAAAATTTAAATTTATTGAATTTAATAGTTTATTTTTAGAACATTAGCATTTCAACTTATTGTCTTTTGCAACTTTCTAATGTTTATATTTGACTTATTCATGAATTGGCAATTCTTTTTCTAAATGCCATTGACAACCTTTTACATTAGACAGGTTTTGAAAACATATTATATTCATATCCATTTTATCAGAAATCCCTAAATCAAATAAATGTAATCCATTTAGGCTCGCGGAATAAAAGATGCTACAGAAATCATCTTTGAGATGTCAAAAGACGAAAGAAAAGATTTCTACAGGACGATAGCATGGGGTCTGAACCGGCCTTTGTTTGCAGTTTATAGAAGAGTACTTCGCATGTATGATGACAGAAACCATGTGGGAAAGTATGAAAATTTGTAATGCTACATGTTTTTGTGTAAGGGGGAATATTTAAGGAAATGACATTCTTTTTTTTTTTGAGAGATTTTTTACTATAGGGTATGTGCACTCGCCAGACAGACAGAGACAGAAAGCGAGAAATCACTCCCCAGGGAGGATGGCCACACCGCAATCCCTTCCCCTCCATTCTCCTCTTGGGATCTTGGGCACGCACGCACAAGCGCCTGCCGTGAGTTTTAAGCCACCGGGTCCGGGACGCGAACTGCGGTCAACTACATGGGAGTCCAGTGACATAGCCATTACTCTAACTGCTGGTCCCAGAAATGACATTCTTTTAGAATTATGATCAAAGCCTAGGTCAAGCTATGAATTACTGTAGAGTTAATATTTTTATCTTCTAGTTCCATGTAAATATAGTAAAACCTCACTATAATAAGCCCTCTTCTAGAAGTTAGAATCTAAATCACCTATATTTGTTAGATTTAATATTTAACCTACTTATTATATCAGAGTCTGCTTTATAGTAAAGTAATATAAAAATAAAATTGTAGTTAGAAATTTAAATGTAAAAGAAACACTAAATTCATTGGTAACATTTTCCTACTTGCTTTTTTTATAAGTTTTTTTTTTTTGCTATAGGGTGCATACTCTCACCAGAAAGACAGAGATAGACAGACAGACAGAAAGTGAGAAATCACACACCCCCCCCGCCCCGGGGGTATGGCCAGGCCGCAATCCCTTCTCCTCCATTATCTTTTCAGAATCTTAGACACACACGCACAGACACCTGGCATGAGTTTAAGCTACCGGTCCGTGACTCTAACCACAGTTGACTACATGGGAGTCCAGCAACATCGCCATTACACTATCTGCTGGTCCCTCCTATTTGCTTTTAAAATATAGCATTCCTAGGTTAGTGACTTTTAGAAAAAAAATAAAACCACAGTGGAAAATAAACTACATTTTTGGAAATGCATGGATATCTATTATAGTAGCATTTATAGGAAGACATCATTAAGATTCTTCAAAGCATTGATTATGTTGTATTTCTGACATCTTTTTAAATTTCTCTTCAGGAATTTTAAGTGGAAGTAGAATGGCTAACTAGGTACTGCCAAGCTACTGGCACTATTTTTCCTCTAGTTCTTCAGCAACCTGCCAATAGAGGGCACATTGGAAAATGAAGATAATTAAATTGTGTTTTTGTGATATTGGAAACATAATTTTTAAAAATGGAGCATTAATTATTTATAAAACTTACATGCAGTAAAATGATTACAAAGTGGGCAGCTTTTCATACTGTTTTTAAATTTTATTTATGTATGTTTGTTTGTATGTATGCATGTTTCCTATAAGGCACATGCACTCACCAGAGAAAGAGAGTGAAAGTGAGAAAGCAAGCTATCAGGTCTAGAACTTGAGCCACAGTTGTCCATGTCGGAGTCCAGAGCCCCAACCACCATGTCACTTGCTGGTTCCAGCTTTTTATAATTATTAAATGGACATTTTTCTTTTTTTAGAGGTTTTTGCCATAGGCATGTGTGCTCCCTGAAGAGAGACTCAGTGAGAGGGAAAGTGAGAATCACCCCCTTGGGGGGGGGGGTGTCCATGACACAATCCCTTCTTCTCCATTTTCCTCCTGGAATCTTGGGCACATGTGCACACATGTCCAGTGTGAGTTTCAAGTTACCACATCTGGGACTCGACATGGTCAACCATGTGAGAGTCCAGCAACATAACTGTTACACATGCTGGCCCCTAAGTGGAGTTTTTTGTTTTGTTTTTAAGAAAAACATGCATTGTCTGGATTGAGTACTAACCTACTGTTTAAAAGAGCAGAAGTAGGTCAGATGCCGTGCCTGGGTAGAGAAATGATAAGATCTTTAATGTTTTCAGTGCCTTGACAGGATTTTCTATAGATTGTCATTTTAGGTTATGATTTTCACGTACTTAAACCTCATTTTTAAATAAAGGAGGAATTAGGCAGCGTAGGAGCAAATACATGTTTTAAATGTTAAAAAAATTTTCCTACAGAAAATTGTATAGTGCTTATTATAACTAGAAGTATTTACTGTTATTTTAAAATAGAAGTATTTATTTTTAACTTTTATTCACTTTAATACAGGTTACTTTAAAAATATTATCAATTTGCTAATTGACTTAAAATTCAGCTCCCTGAATGAAATACTAATTTTGATTGAGATTTTTAACATTCCTTATTTTAATTGATCTCTCTTTAAAATTTCTCTGAATTTCTAGGTACACACCTGAAGAAATTGAAAAACTCAAGGAGTAAGTTTAAAATTTTGTTTTTATTACTTATTGTTTGTTTTTTATGTCTGGTGTTTTTTAAAGTTTTACTTGGGAAATTTTGAAAGATTCTTGACAAACTGTTGTAATACAGTCCTATCATTGAGCATGATTGACCATGCCTGCACACAATAGCCATGCCTATAACGTATACATTTAGTCTCCTCTTGTCAATTGTCAAATGTTTCCTCATACCACTAACAAGGGTTTTTGACGATACTAGATAGCCATTGTCAGTATCCTGAAAACTAAATTGGACCAATTTTTACACTAGGATCAAAACTATGGTTGTGCTACTGGCTTAGTTTAGACTGGTGACTTGGCAAATGTTTCACTGACTATTCACTGAATATTGACATTACCTTATAAAGGCTGTTGAATCTCAATATGATTTTCCTTAATTGAGTTAGGGCCATAAAGTATGGTTTAAATGGGTTGTATGGATCATGAAACAGTTAAAGATAGATCCTATTTATGATGATAAAAAGACTTATGAAGCTTTTACAGATGTCTGAAGAAGAGTTTGTTATCTGTATGGTCAAAAGGGAAAAATCTGGGACTTACCTGAGAGATAGTGTCAATAACCTGAGGGGAAATATGGTCTTTTTTGAACACATATCCAAGTTACTTATTTCTTCTCTGACCCAGGAAAAAGGCAATTGCTGCCTGTTTTTTTTTCACCCACAGACAACTGTGGACCCCAAAAAAAGGCCACACTTTCAAACTTTGGCTCTCAAAGTATTGCTGCCCACAACTTCCAAACCAGTCAAATGGGAAGAAGAAGAATGAAGAATAAATGATGAAATTAAAAGGGAGAAAAGTTGAACCAAATGCTGATTGGCAGACTCTTGTTTTAGGCTCCGGATAAAGCATGGCAATGACTGGGCAACAATAGGTGCGGCGCTCGGAAGAAGTGCATCTTCCGTCAAAGATCGGTGCCGACTGATGAAGGATACTTGCAACACAGGTACTGTGTGAGTGCTCCTGGTGGCCTTTTCTTGTCACTGATCATCCAGCCCCTATGGAATATTGCCTTTTCTTCTGTTCTGGGAAAAATGTACGCCATTCACCTTAGGTCAGACTTTATCTTCTTGTCTATTTCTTCAGCTTAATATTAATAGATAGATCCAGCTAATCTTGTACTTTGTTTTTGTGTTTTTGTATAAGGTAGCAGTGTACAAAGTCCCACATGGCTGACTTCATGGTTCAAGTCCCAGACCCAGCAGCTTGAAAATGTACTAGATGCGAATGTATGTGTGCACGCGTGCACCCAAAATCCCAAGAGAAGAGTGGAAAAAAAGGGATTGAGCTGTGGCCATGCCCCTGCCTGGGGATTGATTAGTCTGTCTGTCTCTCCCTCTCTGAGTGTCTGTCTGGTGAACACATGTACCCTATAGCAAATTAACAACAACTGCAACAAAAAGAAAAAAGGTTCCAAATTAGTAAGAACCTGTGTTCCAGAGGATTATATGTATTTTGCTTAATTCAAACTCAAAGTGTATTTTCTCAGAGAAAAACTTAAGATTGGTGTTTCAGTTCCCAGGCCAGACCACAAATACCTCATGATGTATACAAACGTATTGAGGATGCTGTTAAACCTAACGTTTGTGATCAAAAACATTAACCGTCATTTAACCTGTCTGAGTCTCATATTTCTCTGTAAAATAAAGAGGTTAGAGTAGATGATCTCACAGTTTCTCTTAGCCCTAAAGTTGTCTACAGGATCCAGAATCTATGCCCAATATTTTTTTTTTAATTAATTTTTAAGTTTAGCTTTAGTTTCTAGGGCATATTTATTTTTAACCCCTACACTACTGAAGTGAAATGGAGATTGTTTCTTGTGTAACTATTCCACCATCAATATTACCTGCAGTGCAGTAAGAATGTAATTTCTACCAAAAGTGCCATTCTGTGGCATGGTGAGAGCTTTATGAATGAAGCAAGAATAGAAGCTTTAGATTTAGGATAGGACCCCTAAAGTTCATGTGAGATGCTGTGAGTACAAAACCCCTTTTGTTGACATAATTTGGAAGGACACTATGCCATACTCTAATTGCCAGCCTGAGGAGTGGCTTGATCTACCTGTTTCCTTTTAATATCGTGACATACAGTTTGTTATCACGAGTTTTCTCCTGTGTGTGCACCATGAAACAGCACAGGTCAGAGTTTTTCCCTTCCTTTTTTATATCATGCTAGATGAGGAAAGTAAGACTTTGTCTTATCCCTCCACAGCATCTAAGGCTGCGTCTAGTGTGTTCAACAAATACTTGTTACATGTATAAATTCCTAAAGCAAGCACATAGCCTTTTTGAAATTTTCTGGGAGTTTTTAACTGCAGGAAAAATGAAATAGAAGTAAAGGGGGTTAAAAATAAAGGTCCTGTTTTTTTCTTTCTGTTTTTATACTCAAGCTCCATAAGAAAGAAAGAAAGAAAAAAAAAAGAAGGGGAAAGATATTATTTATTAGATTCATGGGTTTCAAAAAACTAGGAATAAAAATACATGTTAATATCAATGTGATACTTTACTGATCTTCTATTATAGTAGCTTGGAGTTGAAATAATAGGAAAGCTGGTGTAAACGTAGTTTTTATTCAAATAGGTAAGAGTAATAGAACAAGTTATTCCATTTGTCCCTCATTCATTCCTGTAAGTAAGAGCTTCATGAACTTAATCCACTTCTTCAGCATAGGGAATCTTAGGTGAAAGTAAGAAACGAGCATGGGTTTCTATGTCCGAGGCGTTGGTTAACAGTATATAGTTATTTGTAGGTTTTCTTTGTTTTTGTTTTTAATGCCGAGGGCATACGCGTACACACTGGGCAGAGGAGGGGTAGGAAAAGAGAGAGCACACATGTACCACCTAAGGAAACCTGGTTATGGAGCAATCTTTTTCTTCCCATTCTCCATCCTGTCAGGATTCTAGGTACCTGAATCTGTGTATAGTGTGTCTTTCAAGGCACTGGTGCTGGGACTCAAACCCTGGTCAGCCATATATCTTGCTTCCTCTGCATAGCACTCAACCACTGTTGGGGCCAGCTGTAACTATGTTTTGGGTAGTTTACCTTAATGATTCATTCAGTGTTTTCCTTTAGGAGTCTGGATTTTCTTTTGTACTGAAACTCTTAACTGATTAAGTAAAATGCAACTGTCTTAGTAGGTATATGTGGCTTCCTATCAGAAGGTCATTAAAAAATAAATTCTTAATGTTACAATGTACTTCCCATGAGGTCTGAATCAGATTTCGGAAAGGAGAAGGTGGCACTGGTAGTCTGGATGATTTCCTTCTTTCAGGGAAGTGGACAGAAGAAGAAGAAAAGAGACTTGCAGAGGTGGTTCATGAATTGACAAGCACTGAGCCAGGTGACATAGTGACACAGGGTGTGTCTTGGGCAGCTGTGGCTGAACGAGTGGGTACCCGCTCAGAAAAGCAGTGTCGTTCTAAATGGCTGAACTACCTAAACTGGAAACAGAGTGGGGGTACTGAGTGGACCAAGGAAGACGAAATCAACCTCATCCTCAGGTTTGTATCCTAAATCTTTTAATGACAAAAGCTGCTTAATTGGCTGTGGATGTCTTGATTGACTTTCCTCTTTGGATTTCTGTAGATGTCTAATGTCTGACAAGCATCCTTTCCATAAAAAGCACTGTTTCAGATACTAAGTATTTCATATTGAGCTCTGTTTTTGTTTTTGTGTGTGTGTGTTTGTTCCTTTTTAGTGGATTTAGTGCCCGTGCAAAGTACCAGATTGAAGGCGTGGAGACTGAAGTCCTCTCTATATCCAGAGAACAGGTATGGCACAGGCAGCGGCAGTGCAGTTTTTCCACTGTCACACCAATGTGCCTCAGTCTTAGCCTAGGGGGAACATGTTCAGGGTAAGAGGGCTATTCAGTCTCCATGCCCTTCAATACTTGGCTACTAAACTAAGATTGCCAAGAAGGGGGCCCAATCTACAGTTACTGCACACCTTCAAATTGGACCAAGTCAAACATTTCCATTTCATATAAATTCAAAAATAGTTTTACAATAACAATCCCAAGCTTATTTTTATATTACTTGGTTTATTCATTAAGATTCAATAACTAAAATGGTTAAAAATACTAGCAAGAAAATATTTAAGATACAGAAGTACAATAAAGATTGTCATTGTGGCTACTCTCTACTAGAAGCCAAAATCAACATGCAGTTAAAACTAGAAGATGAATAGACTTCTAAAACCCCAAATTTACTTGTGCTATTGTGTTGGTTGTTTTGGGTTATTGCTATTGTTTTTGTCTTTTTATCATTTTGGTTTGAATATACTTTTTTTTCTAATTTTTCATCTTTATAAAAAGCTCATTTCTAAACATTTTTTGTTTTACAAATGGAAAAGCTCAGATCTAGGAAATGACTGACTTTAGTAAAGGCCACACTGTGAAACATTGCAGAACCATACAACTAAACCTGTCCTTACCTATTCTAACCCTTAGCCCACTCCTTTTCCTTTGCAGTGCTTCATCTGGTTCTAACCATTTATGGTTCAGCGCATTGGTTGTACCTTTAACAAAAGCCTATTGCTGATACTATTTCTTAGCTCTGGAAGCAGGTCTGCATTCCTAGGATCCTTTCCCCATGGAACTTAACAGTAGCATCTCATCGGTATAACCTACCATTGCTTTTATTGCTAGTGGCATCCACACCTGTAGTGAGAGGAGGGTTCTTAGGGAGAAGTAAAGTTAATAACTAACAAACGTTTGTTTTGTAACCTGTAGGATAGCAGAGCTTGATGTAGCTGATGAAAATGATATAAACTGGGATCTGTTAGCTGAGGGATGGAGCAGTGTACGTTCACCACAGTGGCTTCGAAGTAAATGGTGGACCATCAAAAGGCAAATTGCAAACCATAAGGATGTTTCATTCCCTGGTAATGTATTTTTTTTAAGTCCTTCCCTTTTGCTATCGTATATATTCCTTAAGAGTTAGAAGTTAAAGTTCTTTGCCTAAGCTAAAGAGATACCTTAGCAGATTTAAACTTCTGCCCTATTTATTTTGGTAATGTTTTTTTTCTTTTTTAGAAAAGAGTTATGTGATTTATAATTCCTAAAACCCCTAAGACAAAAAATACACTTTTGCACACATTCTTGTTCTTTCACATACACTGATATAAATCAAATTTTACACCTCCACACACATATCCTGCATGGTCACACCGCAATCCCTTCTTTTCCATCTCTCCCTCCTTTCAGGATTTCTGGGTGCCACACACGTACCTCTCAAGCCACCAAATCCAAGACTTGAACTGCATGGCCAGACATGTGGGATCTAGCCACCTTAACCACCAGTCCACAGAGCTAGCCCTAACAATAATAGAAGTTTACATATGTGACTTTACTTAATGCAAAGATACATTCTGAAAACTTAAGTTTGAATTAACTTTTTTGAGTAGATTTTTTTAATTAATTTTGAGAAATTCTGTGATAATTTATTTTGTAAACTGAGGGCTCTGTAAATTTCTAATTTCATTAGTTATGTAAATTCAGAGATGTTTTATTGGATTTACTTAAAGGAAGACATAGCATACTTTTCATTTAGTTGACCATTTTAGCATTTAGGCACTAAACTAAGTTGTATAGTCTGAAACAAGGTTGTACAGTCTGTATAATTTGGGTTATCAAATTTATTCTACTTAGTATAGCACACACTTTCATTTTCCAAAAGAAAACTAAATGCCAAGAAACCCTGCCTTGATGAGACTGTCCTGTTATAAAAAATTAGTGTAGTTTATCCTGAAAAATAGAGCAGACTCCAGAGTTGGCCTGCTAGTTTAAGAACTCTAGGTGATTGCCTCCTACTGTTTAGAAAAGATCAGCTGCTACCTCTGGAATTGTGAGTGGACGCATAGTCAACCTCGAGTCCTTAGAAATATGTATACTACTCACTTATGAATGAAAATATGTTTAGCATTGCCAATATCCTTCCTAAATAGTAAGAATTCTATCAGGAAGCCTTAGGACATAGAAAACTTTATTTTCATATTCTTCACAAAATTCTTTTCTGGTTTTACATTGTAAGTATTAGATGGCAAGAATAGTAATATCATCTTAAGAATTTAAAAAATATAATAAATAACATTTCCAAAAATTTCAGGATAGGTTGTCATTTTAAAATACTTTTATTGCTATTTTTATGAACTCTCACATTCATTATGCTGTATTTATTCCAAGTACTTTCCCTCCTTAACTCCCACCCCTTCCCCACTTCCCTGGCTGTTTAGATGGGATCTGTCAGAGAATCAATATTCTTTTTGTCTACCCATCTCCCTTCAGTCTTAATAAAAGGTCTTAAACAGTTACATGAGAACCAGAAAAACAACCCATCACTTTTGGAGAATAAATCAGGATCGGGAGTTCCAAACAGTAATTCCAATTCCAGTGTTCAGCATGTTCAGATCAGAGTCGCTCGCTTGGAAGATAATACAGCTATTTCTCCAAGTCCCATGACAGCATTACAGATTCCAGTCCAGATCACCCATGTCTGTAAGTATTTGAATCTCAAGACACCTTGCTGTTTGAGCTGTACGATGTGGTTAATGGCTTTCAGTGCTCTAGAATGTTGACAGAAATGTACCAAAGTTGATATATTCAAGGCAAGATGCAAGGCACTTAGCTCAGTGAATACTTATACAAATAGTGAGCATTTGACAGGGGAGACTTAAAACAACTCCCCAGCCATTATAAAACATTTTAAACCACCATTCTGGATTTTATATGTAAGTATGTAATATAAATTAATCATGCAAGTAGAAATATGAGCAAGTGATTAATAGAAAGCTACCTAAAATAGTCAAAGAAAGAGGTCATTTACAAGGTGGCACATCACATGTAGTAATTTCACCAGAAGCAACACAGATTGGAAATAGATTTGAGGTAGTATTGTATGTAGCTGGGTTTTGTTGAGGTTGAAAAAGATTGTCTTAAGAGAACAAATGGCCAGTTGCCTATGGGGAACTGGTCTTTTATTCCTGTATCTAAGGTTAGCCTCTGAAAGGTTTGTGCTTATTGCAGGGGTGGGGGGAAGAGTTAATTTTTTCAGGTTTAATCCAAGTTCTTTTTTCCTTGTCAGTTTTGGATTATATTATATTATCAGTGACAGAAAACCAATGAGAATGAAATTCTCAGAACCATATTACTCTGCAATGTGTCTCGTCTTTTTTTTTTTTTTCTGGAATGCTATTTGCCCATGAAAGGTCATTACCCAATAGTATACTACTCACTTTGTGTTATTCTCAAGCAGGCAATTATTGTCATGTTTTTTCTTTATTCATGATAGAGTATGTGCATATAAAAGTGACAGAGAAACTCCCTACATGGGTGTAGTCACACCATAACCCCCTTCTTGTAGTTCTGCAGGCTACCAGTTCCTAGGCACTCATGTACATGCCAGTGAGTTTCAGGCTGACCAGGCTTAGAGATCAAATCATGATTGCCATATGCGATTTGGCTTTTCTTAGCAGCGCATTACTGCTGCACTACAGAGCTATCCCTGATTATTGGCATTTTGAATGAGAGAACTGTCTTTTATGTTGCAGGATACTCAGTGTCCCTTGACCTTACCCACAAATTGCCAATAGTGTTTTTCAATCATATGACACATACACCTCACAATTCTAAAGATACTCTGTGATCCTCTGGCTCTTACTGGTTTTAACTAACATTATATGTGTAATGACTGTCAAAGTTATTGTAGAGATATTAAAACTAATGATACTTCTTATTCCTAAGTCCAAGTTTGGTTATTTGTATTGTCTTTCTACCAAGTGTAATAAAACATGAATTTCCTTTCTGTCACCCTGCTTGTTTTGTTTTATACCCTGAGAATTGCAAGGAAGCTGAAATTACTAGACCAGATAAATCTGAGAGCTACTGTTAGCTGTAAATTGATGATTGTTAGTTTTCTTTGGCTATTAGGTTGATAGAACCTACTGGAAAGATAACAAACATTTTATAAGTAGTTCCTTAATATTCATTCATTAGAATAATTTTATTTGCTCCAATAAGAAATGTGAGTATAGTGAGAGTTCTATAATCTACCTGAGGGATAGGGATCAGCACATTTTTAAACAACCCTTTAAATTGTAAAAACCATTCTTAAATGGAGCCATATTGGTCCTTGACTATAGTTTGCTCATCTCGGCTTAGGTTATTTGGAATCACTTAAAATTATTCTAGGTGTGACTGTAAGAATTCATCAAGTGGTAAGAGAAATAACATGAATGAAGTGCATTTCTATTGATAATGGTGGTAACATTTATTTCAAATAACTTAGAGTTGTAATTAGAACATAGTAACAATAAACACTACACATTAAAATTCAATTCTGGGTCATTTTTCACATCGATTTATTTACCTGTGTGACTGAAGGCACCAAAAGAAACCCTATTTCTTCTGATTAGTCTTAGACATGTTTTAACTTTGAGCAGACATTAACCTCAAGTCTAAGACTTACTTAGCATATCAGTAAAGACATTATACTGAAGTGCTTTTCTATTTCCTAAATGTGATCTTCCAGAATATTATCTTACACTTACTTCTTGTTTTTAAAAGCTCTTTTGATCCACACCACAGCTTATATGAGGTAGGTGGAACATATCTCTGAACATTAGTTTGGATTAAGTTATTTGGCCACGTTTACATTGTTAGGAAGTGATATCAATAAAACTATAAAGCCTCTTATTTTGGGACTACCAATCCAAACATCTATACTGCTTACCATTGTCTAGGAAAATGCATTTTTCCAAGTTTTTACTTCTTTGCAGGCTCATCTTACTTTGTACCTCTTACTCGTTCATCATCACTAAACATTTTATAATATATATCTGAGTGTAGCAAACCTTTTCTGTAATGAGACAGATTGGGCAGGTATAGCTGGGAAAGGAGTAAAGGGGCTCCTTGTCCAGAGTCTTGGCAACCTCAGTTGATGGAGCATCCTGAGTTGCTGATGCAGCCATCTGTAAACCAATGCCAACCCAGTATGGTGAGAGCACTGAGAATATGAAGACCCCTTTTGGCAGCTAGTGCATCACCACTCTGAGCCCCAGCAGGCTGTGAGGCGAGGCACAGCAGACAGGCATTGTGTGATGCTGGCTGTGAATTGGACAGTGACTTCACCTTGGTGCAGAGAAAGTGATTGGGACTTTCTGCACAGTCTTGGAGGCCATTGACCAGATATAGCTACCAGCAGTTAGGACTTGGGATGCCTCAATGAACAGTACTATTGGTGGCCCCACGGGCCTCAGCAAAGCAAAAACTGTCACCAAGCATGTTTCATGAAGCCCAGCTAAAGATTCTGGAGGTGCTTCTTTGATGTCCTACCACCTCTGGTAGAGCCCAGCCATCCCTTATAAAGCAACATCCGTAGATCACAGGTGTGCAGACCTCACTCAAAATCAGTTGGGCTCCACTCAGAGTCTGAAGGATACTATGCCAGAACCCTGCCCTTTTGGAATAAAGAAATAATTCCCCAGATAAGGCGGGAAAGTAGGTACTGATTGTAGCCCATGACACAAGCCTTTGGAGCATTGTCAAGCATCTAGAGAGTCTCTTTGAAGAGACCATGATGGAGTGGAACCTGCTGGCTTGTATCCCCCCAATAGACAATTTATAAGAACTAGAAGCCCATCGAGTCATACTGTTCCTGGAGAAAGAAGAGACTAGTAAAGCCATGAAAGCTGTAATTGTCCAGGTCAAGGCCAAGAAGTGAAGGCAAGAAGATCCCAGGAAACTCCCTCACTGCCTAGCCCATCCTTCTACACCCTCCCCTGCACATATCACACTGACCGCATTTTTATCTTAAGTTGAAACTGCAGACGGAAACTAGTGGCTCATAATTTCATTTTAGCCATTTTGTTCCCTTTGCCCACTCTTTTCATACAATCTACTATCAATAGAATAGCATCTCTAGGACATGGGTTCTCAGTCTAAGCTGAGGGAAGTTTCCTCTTATCTAAGAGTTGAGAGATGGTAACTGGTTTTTGCTAGTACTTTATTTACTAAGGACCTGCTTGAGTAGGGATAGAGAGGAACATGCTGAGGCATGACAAATGAGAAGAGCCTGTTTGTGTTCCCAGGAATAAATCCTGTACCCTTCTGCAGGTAGGTCCCTGACTGAGGGGCTATAGTCATTTCAATGGAAGATGATATAACCTGAATTAGGATTTTAAAAAATTAACTCCCTGACCCTAGAGGAGCTAGCTCCAGGAGGTTGGAGATAGTCCAGAATTAAGTTAGTAATGTTCCATTTACTTTACAAAAAAAAAAAATTATATACACACTTGCATATGCGTATTTTATACAAAATAAACTGTTTCTGTAGTTTCTAGTAGCAAGTCTCGTATGTGGTCATCAGAAAATAAGTTGTTCCTCACACTGATAAGGCCTTGGCTTCTCAGGAATAGGAGTACATCCTGCTATGTATTCAAAATTGCTACCCCATTTTGTTTTATGATGACAAAATGCCTTTTGATCACATCCAAGTTTGTCTTTTAATATGTCTACTTTCTGAATCATGTCCAGTTGGTTGGCCCTGCCATGTGGGCCCAGTACTCATTTTGAGCATTACTACTAAATCTTTTCTCCAGGTTTATATAACAAAGGAGTAATGGGCAGTTTCAAAGGGGTGGAGCAAATATTAAAGATCGTAGACTTCATGGATCATATGGTGCGCATCACAGGTTGACACTTGTAAATGCAACCACAGAAGATATATAAATTAAAGGGCATGTGTTGCTATGTTCCGGTGAAAACAAACTGGCACTGAGGTTAGATTTGACAGTGGGTCATAGTTAGGCAATTCCTGATCTATAGGCCATCCCAGATAAATCCATTAGATTCTTATCTCTCATAAGAAATGTAACTGACTTCAGGTTTCTAAGCAAATTATTCAATATGAAATAGCCTTTGTGACAGCTTACTACACTGGAGGAATTTAAATTTACATTTTATTATCATCCTTCTTACCACAGCTTCGACAGACTCCCCTGCTGCTACAGTTGACTCGGAAACAATAACACTAAACAGTGGAACACTACAGACATTTGAGATTCTTCCAGTGAGTAGTACTTCATTAAAGAGATAATAGGCTGTTTTTATGCATAAGAAAAATCGATTGATAGCATTTTTTCCTTTTAGTTTGCCAGAGAGTGCATGTATTTGCCAGAAAAAGCATTCCCCATAGGAAATGGTCACACCACACTATACCTTCTCCATTTCTTCCCCCTTTTGGGATTTTGGACATGCAGACACACGCATCCTTATGTGTTTTTCAAACCACTGGGTTTAGGACTCCAACTGCACAGTCAGCCATGTAGGATCCAGCCACTGTAATCACCACACCACAGGCTGGCTCAGTCAGTAACAGTTTTAGAAATGATCTCATAAGCTGATGAGATAAACTGAGGCCAAAAGGATAGACTAGGCAAAACTAGGTTTTCACTTTTATAATTAATCTTTTTTCATCTATGCATAAACCAGTATTTTCTTTCTATATATGAAATGATAGTGCTGATAAAGTATGTACTATGAATTTTTACTGAGTTGTACGTTTATAACCAGAAAGTTCGTATTAGTTATTTGAAGAGAGATTTTGGGCAAACAAATCATATGAGCTCTTTAATAACATTCATTCAATAAACACTATACTAGCCATTGGGGGAACACAATTTAAAGTCTTAATCCTGAATGCATTTAGCTGATAGGAAAAACTCTTATAGTTCCTAAAAGCTTAAATATAATGTTACTAAGTTATACACGAATTATAATTGCAGGTAAACCCATGTGAAATAACATCTCTCCACATCATACTTGCATGTAAATGTTCATCACAGTATTCATAATAATCCAAATATGGAAATAATCTAAGTCTATCAACTTATAAAAAGATAGAGGATATATGCTATTTTCATACAAATACTGTTCAGCAAAAAAAGGAATAATATCCGTATGTGTTACTGTAAAATGGATAAACTTTGAAAACATGCTAAGTGAAAGAAAAGTGAAAGCAGCCAGACAACATGAAGTATCACAGTATATGAATCCTGTTTATTGGAATTTCCAAAATCCAGGATTATAGATACAGAAGTAGAATAATGGTTGCCCCTAGCAGAGAGGAAATGAAGCATGATTGTTAATGTGTATGAGATTTCTTTTGGAGGTGATGAAAAAAATTTTAAACCCAGTCTCTGTCCTGCTTTCTAAAATGAGTAAATCCAACATTAATTAATTTCATTAAGAAAGAACTAAAAGGGCTGGCAGGTGGCATGGTGGTTAAGGTGTTGGACTCCCACATGGCTGACAGCGGTTCAAGTCCTGGACCTGGTGATGCTCTTGCTCACACACGTGCACTCTCTCTCTGTCTCTCTCCATGGTCAATCTGAAGAACAATAATAACAAATAAAATAATTCTTTTAAAAAAAATGAATTATCTCATTCAACTTTGTTTGGCCAGAGAGAGAAAGTGAAAGTGAGAAAGCAAGCTGTCAGGTCCAGGACTCAAACCACGGTCAGCTATGTGGGAGTCTAGCACCCTTAGCCACCATGCCACTTGCCAGCCCCTAAAATAATTCCTTAAAAAGGAAAAAGAAGAAGAAACCGAAGTACAGTTTATTTATATTACTTCAAGATTGATTTACTATGAATACAAGTTTATTCATCCTCCACAGCTAAATCCTAGGAGGACAGTCAGCATAGCAAGAGGTTCTCTTTCCATCTTTAAAACATAAACAAGCAGCTTACTTAACCTAAGTGTGTTTTTTAATCCAGCGTCCCCAACCATATGACACAGAAAATAGAATTTCATTTTACATTTTTTGTTTTTACTACTATCTCCAGTAAACAGAATGTATACATAACCTATGTTCAGTGTGTATATTCAGGTTTTTACTTATAGGGTCACAATCAAATAGTTAGAGACTTTTCTCCTAATTTATTAATAGGGGACGATAATGATAACTCAGCTCCAAAACACGGAGAAAAAGTGTATTTAAATAAAACACATGTATGTATAAAATGTACATATAAAATACAGTTGGCCCTCCATAGCCATAGATTTCACATCCATGGATTCAGCCAGATCACACCAGCTGTTAGAAAATGAGAGAAGAGATGGCTTCCTAAAAGAGAGATAGTGGAAAAGTATACTTTCCTTTTCACATATCTGATGCCTAGGTAATTTACATAATCTGGAGATGATTTGACATATACAGAAGGATATACATAAGTTATATTGTAAATACTACAGTTTTACATAATGGACTTGAACATTCATACAGTTCTGGAAATGAGTACCCTACAGATACTGAGGGACAAGTATTTATAATAATGTCTGACCATTTGTGATTAATATATGTGACCTTTTTTGGGAAATGATTAGCTTTTACTTTTTTTGTGTGTGGAAAGGATTTTTTTGCTATAGGGCACATGCGCTCACCGGAGACAGAGACAGAAAGTGAGAAATCACTCCCCCAGGGAGGGTGGCCACCCTGCAATTCCTTCTGCTCCATTCTCCTCTTGGGATCTTGGGCATGCACCCACACACACCCAGCATGAGTTCAAGCCACCAGGTTTGGGACTCGAACCGTGGTCGACTACATGGGAGTCCAGTGAAATAGCCATTATGCCAACTGCTGGTCCCTAGTCTTCACTTTTATGGAAAGACAGGAAAGAAACTGAGTTGCCATGGTTATGCTAGACACTTTCATAATTTCTAACCACAATATCCCTTTCCAAGAAAGGTAGTTATCATCTGCATTTTGGCAATAAGGATACTTATATTCATTCAGTACACAAGAAGGTTGTTCTGCCTAAGTCCAAAAGACTTTGTTGACTTAAAAAAAGGCTATGTGATTTTTAACCCTCAACCCTATTTTAAATACATCTATTTTTCCTTTATTTATTTATTCATTTATTTTTGAGAGATTTTTGCTATAGGGCATGTGTGCTCGCCAGAAAGACAGGGAGACAGAGGGACAGAAAGTGAGAAGTCACCCACGAGGGAGGATGGCCACACCGTCATTCCTTCTCCATGCTCCTCAGGATCTTGGGCACACACGCACATACGCCTGGCATGAGTTTAAGCCACCGGGTCCAGGACTTGAACTGCGGTTGACTACATGGGAGTCCAGCGATATAGCCATTACACCAATTGCTGGTCCAAATATATTTTTCCTTTAAAGTATTAGGGCAAACCTAAGTTGAATTATTATGTACAAGTATATGGCTGTGAAAAGTTTATTAATGAATAATTTTGCTTTTAAGTGTTTTTCAAGCCACTGGGTCATGGACTCCAACTGCACAGTCAGCCATGTAGGATCCAGCCACTGTAATCACCACAGGCTGGCCCAGTCAATAGTTATAACTTGTTTTTCTGTGCAAAAATGCATCATGACTTTAACAATCACCCAATAATTGCTATTTCTATACATTTTTCAATATAAAAGTTTTCTAAAATTACAGTTAAAAAGTTCTATGTAGGTAAACACTGCAATATTGTTGTACCTTTTCAAAATTGTTTAAAAAACTCGGAGATCGTGAGTTTTTATGTGCTGCAGAGAAGAGATGGAGAGCAATGGTTGGATATACTGGGTTCCTGCACTGGTCTTGGTGCCTGAAATAAGCAGTTGAGACCAGACCACAGAAAAATATGGGACGAAAGGGTAGGATAAATGTTAAACCTCCAAGCTGAGTAGTGACCTAAGACAAATAGTAAATATGCCCTTCATTGTATTACTTATTTATACCTATATGATTGGCAAGTACATTTGTGGCTAATAAATAACGTCAGTCCTGTTTTGGGATGTGAAGACAGACCTAATCAATAGTCTGTTGCTCCTGTGTTGAACTTTTTTTTTCCTTCAGTCTTTCCATTTACAGCCCACCGGCACTCCAGGCACCTACCTACTTCAGACAAGTTCAAGTCAAGGCCTTCCCCTAACCCTGACTGCTAGTCCCACAGTAACACTGACAGCAGCTGCACCTGCTTCTCCTGAACAGATCATCGTTCATGCTTTATCCGTATGTTACATCAGTTGCTTATTTGACACCCTATTATGAGTTGTGATGATAAAAAAAATACAAGCACCAAAACTATGAGATGGTTTATATAACTATTGTTATCTAAACAATTCTTCCTACTGCCCTAGTCCAAGGCACAATGTTCTGTACCATCACTGCCCTCACTGAGCTATATCTCTCACCCCTCATATCTCTTTGGGAAATGGATGAATATTATAGAGAACTGAGGAGAGCAAGGGCCCCAGTGGATAAAGAACAGGGATTTTAGTAAAATAGTGATTGAAAACATTGCAGTTCCAAAGGTGAAAGCTATGTTACCTCTCATAAGTACTTTGTCATTTTGCCATTGATCATTTTAATTTTTTTATAGCCAGAACACTTGTTGAACACAAGCGACAATGTCACAGTGCAGTGTCACACACCAAGAGTCATCATTCAAACTGTGGCCTCAGAGGACATCACTTCTTCCATTTCCCAAGCAGAACTGACAATAGATAGTGATATTCAGTCTGATTTTCCTGAGCCTCCAGATGCACTAGAAGCAGATACTTTCCCAGATGAAATTCATCAGCCTAAGATGACTGTAGAGCCATCATTTAATGATGGACATGTATCCAAATTTAGTGACCAAAATAGCACAGAACTGATAAATAGTGTTATGGTCAGAACAGAAGAAGAAATCTCTGACACCGACCTAAAACAAGAGGAGGAATCACCTTCTGGTTTAGCCCATGCTTATGTTACTGAGGTAAGTGGTTCTTAAAATCTAATGGGTTCTCGCATTGAGCCTCAAACCTGCAGTTTAGAAAGAATTCCAAAATACTTAAGAGGGAAATTCCCTGGTACCTTCTCCCTCTTTCTTTAGGCTCACAAAGTACAAACAATAACCATAGCTTTTCCCCTCTTCACCTGCATCAGATTGAGAAATGTTTATTGGAACCCATTCCTGAGAATGGTTAGTAGTAATCTTTGTATTCAACTTAGGAACCTCATCCCTTATTCTGTGTTCTGGTGACCTATAACTGAATTAGTTCTTTTGGTAATAGGTTATTAATGTTAACTTGTCCATTTATTCATGACCCAAATCTTAAAATTTTTTTTTGGGGGGGGGGTAAAATTTTTTTTGGGGGGGGGTGGTTTGCTATAGGGTGCATGCACACACCAGAAAGACAGAGACAGAAAGCGAGAAGTCACCCCCCATGGGGATGGCCACACAGAAATCCCTTCTCCTCCATTCTCCTCTCAGGATCTTGGGCGCATACGCACATGCGCCTAGCGTGAGTTTAAGCCACCAGGTCTGGCACTCGAACCGCAGTGGCAACATGGGAGTTCAGTGACCTAGCCATTATGCTAACTGCTGCTCCCTAGATTCCAATTTTTTAAAGTGGGTGGAATGTTTGAAAGTTAAATCCTGTCAATCCTAGATGTGTTTGGGATGTTAAGGAAAACTGAATCAGAATCTACTGGGGGTTTTTTGTTTTAAATGTTTAGGATTTAGAGTCTCCAACCATAGAAGAACAAGTTGATCAGACAACAATTGATGATGAAACAATACTTATCGTTCCTTCACCACATGGTTTTATCCAGGCATCTGATGTTATAGATACTGAATCTGTCTTGCCTTTGACAACACTAACAGGTACTGTAATACAGCTGTTACCATGTATCTGACAAATCTTTAATGTCTCAGACATTCAATTTAGTTGCTTTTTTTGTTTTTGCTTATTTTTACTAAAGGGCATGTATGTTCACCAGAGAAAGAGGGAGATGGAAAGCAAGAAAGCACTACCCACTTCCCTTCCCCCCACCATGTGAACATGGTCATACTGCAGTCCCTTCTCCAATTCCCTCCTTTCAGGATTTTAGGCTTGCATACACATGCACCTTGTATGTTTTTCAAGCCACCATGTCTGGGTGGATCTTACTGCATGGGATCCATCTACCTTAACCACCGAGCCACAGCCTGGTTTGGTTGATTTAGTCTTTCTTGATCCAAAAGTAAAGATATTAGTCATCTTGTGTTAAAGCCTACCCTTCACTAGAATACTTACTCTAAATTCTTGACATGGATTTCAAGAGAAAGAAAATACATTTAAGACTAACCTGAAACTTAACTCATTGCAGATCCCATACTCCAACATCATCAGGAAGAATCAAATATTGGATCATCTTTGGGCAGTCCTGTTTCAGAAGACTCAAAGGATGTTGAGGATTTGGTAAACTGTCATTAAGTAATTCTTAGAAACAGGTAATTCAAGCAAGAAGCCACCATGTTAATTAGGACTTCTCCAAAGAAATAGCAAACTTCAAGAGGATTCACTTACCATTCCTCTGGCTTTTAAGTAGCTACAGTGCTTAAGCCATGCACATTGTTGCTGCTATGACTTTTTATCTCCTTATACTAAGTATATCATCTGAGGTCCAGTTTTATGACAGTGTGGTTGAGTGGAGTATGGGAATTTTAACTGCATAGACCCCTATGTTTAGTGGTACTTGGCAGCAGGAAATTTCATTCACCAAAGTTTAACTGCTTTGATATAAAAGCAGTAATACTCATCTCTAAAGATCAGGCATGGTGTTCTATCCAATCTCAAGTAGGCCTCGTTATCTCTTAGAGAAGTAATATCAGCATGGTCTGGAGCTTATCGGTAACTTTACAAAAGATCAAATATCACTGGTTTGAGATTTGACCAGCATAGAAATACAGAGACCTGGGAGATGATCTGGCAGTTATTTTTGGTTAACCCATTGCTGGCAGTGGGAGCTGATTTAGGCAAGGTAAAGAGGAAAGCATTAAACAGTTAATCCACTACAGGTTTTTAAAATTACTTTTAAAGGAAATATGGATAAGAGTATTAATAATCCACCAGAAGCCAATAAGCAGTTTTCACCCCCTCAGAAACCACTGTCATTAGTTTACAAAGTTAGCACTTTGAAGTAAAATTAAACTACATGAGGGTTCAGGCAATGCTGCCTGTCCTTGATACCATGACCCTTTACTACGTGTTTTGCTATATAAAATTACCCAGAACATAGTTGAGGGGTAAGAGAGTTTGCCATTCACTTAGTGCATTAGCTGGTCAGAAGTACAATATAACTTCTCCCTCTCAGGCAATTTCAAAAAAAAAAAATTTGCTTCTGAAACAAATTAAGAGTCATTCCTATACTAAAAAAGGAATAAGCCAAAACTAGCCTTAGGGCTTTAATGAATATGACCCCTATAGAAAAAAGACACACACACACAAAAACTTGTATAAATTATTTTATTTATTATTGTAATTAGATCTTCACAATCAAAGTTGTCTTCACTGTTTTGTTAACGTGAAATGAAATTGTAGTTATAAGCAAAAGTTGGTTGCCTAGGGAACAATAATTGTATGTTTAACAGAAATAAAAGAATATTTGTCTTAAAATGCAAGATCTTGTTTGTTACATAGCCTTTTGCCATGCAATTACATTGTAAAAAATTTTCATTTCAAAAGTGAAAATGACTTGTGCTATTGAGCTTTAAGGGTTGGAATGTTTACCTTAAAGAAAAACGAAGTGATCTATGATGTATGTCTCCCATACAAGAGGGAATTTAAAATTGCAGTTAACATGAAAATCATGTATCAGACTTCTGCAGGAGAGTATTCAGCATACTTAATCCAATGATTATTTATTCATTGTCCTACTTTATAGTTTGGAAGAGTCCTGGTATTTTTTTCTTGGCAGTCTCACCTTCCCACATCATGGAAGTACAGGTTTGCACATATACATAACATGATGATACAAAATAAGATATAGTAAATTAGCTTTCTAAATTTCGGCTCTAAGTCTCCTTGTCGATACCAGTAGATCTAGAAGAAAAGTTAAAATAAAAGTTTAAGTAACAGCCACTGGGCCACCTATTAAAATTCAATTAGTTTCCTTCCCACCAGTTTTATCAACATTTATCTAAATGAGATAGTCTTCATATTCACCTACATTCCCAAGACCAGTGCAGCTAGAATTTGACTCTTAACTCATTATTTGGATAATAGTTTCCACAACCAAGGTCATACTTAGTTTTACTTTCCCACTTTATGGTTCAAAATCTGTACTTATCCACCTATTTGGCAAGCTATCCAAGAATGGATATATTACAGGTATATAGTGTGTGTATATTTGGAAGAGTAAAAGGTAAACTCTTTTAGGTACTAGAAGACAGACGACTTTTAAATTCACAAAATTGATTCAGATTGCCAATATAAAATAGGGTATGCATAATGTATGTATGTGGTTTAACCTAGCTCACTGTTAGGCCCCAGGCTGGGGAGGGACAGGAAGACTCTCAAAGTAGGGTGAGCCAGACTCTCAAAGTAGGGTGAGCCAGTCTTCAGGTCATTGTGTGTAGCAGCATCAGTAAGTTAAAACTCTCCTAGATATCTCCTGGTTTAGTGGTTTTTGTTTTTTAATGCCAGAGGGTACATGAAGAGAACCCCACAACAGGTACTGTCACGCTATAGTCCTCATTCCTCCAGGGCACATACACACCAAGAACTGAACTCCAGTCAGCCACAACAATCTGGCTGCCTGTAAATACCTAAGTGCTGCACTTTAAGGCTGGCCCCTCCTGGCTTATTTTTACTTCTAATAAACAAATTACTATTATGACTTAAGCCCTAAGTGAGTCAGAATGACTGGGTTTTGGGGGAGGAGAGATTGTTGTTAGAGGGTGCATATGCAAGACAGAGAGACAAAGCAAGAAATCACCCTCCTGGGGGATGGCCACACTGCAATCTCTTCTCCATTCTCCTCTTGGGATTTGGGGTATGCATGCACATACATACACCCTGCATGAGTTTTAAGCTAACAGGTCCAAGACTGCAGTCAACTACATGTGAGTCCAGTGACATAACCATTAAGCCATCCACTTGTCCCCAGAATGACTGTTTTAAGAGTATATTTTTGGGGGGAACCGGCAGTTAGTGTAATGGCTATGTTGCTGGGCTCCCATGTAGTTGACCGCGGTTCGAGTCCCGAACCCGGTGGCTTAAAATCATGCCGGGTGCATGTGCATGTGTGCCCAAGGTCCTGAGAGGAGAATGGAGAAGGGATTGTGGCATGGCCATCCCCCAGGGGGGTGACTTCTGGCTTTCTGACTTTCTGGTGAGCATACGTGCCCTATAGCAAAAACCTCTCCAAAAAAAAAAAAAAAAAGTATATAATTTTGGGACCAGTACATAGTGTAGCAGTTACGTTACTGGACTCCTACATGGCCAACTGCGGTTTAAGTCCCGGACCTGGTGGCTCAAAATTCACACCAGGCCTGTGTGTGTGCATGCCCAAGATCCCAGGAAGAGAACAGAAGAGAAGGGACTGCAATGTGGCCATCCCCCATGAGGGGTGATTTCTTGCTTTCTGTCTCTGTCTCTGGGGAGCACATGCACCCTACAGCAAAAATCTTCCCCAAAATTAATAAACTTTTTTAAAAGTTTTGGTCTGCCTTTTCTTGAAGAAACAGGAAACCACCAACTGAAAGAATGAATGAACATTGAGAAGCCACCACCATCTTTGTTTCATTACCATTAAAGGGCCTATTGTAATGAAGTGATACTGTTATTAGGACAAGGATACACTTGCAGCGTTAAGTTTCTCAGGAATTTTTTGACAATCATTTTGATTTCGGAAGGTAAGACATAGGTTAAAACTGACCAATTTTCCCAAAATCTGTTCTTTCATGTATGTTTCTTCACTAATTTTTTTCCCCTTAGCTACCAAAAGTTATGAGGTTACCTTTTAGTATTACAACTTTGGGATATGGGACAAAAACTTGGGATTCCAAGAGTAACACATAACTAACAATGGAGAATTTTTTATATAATTTGGTGGTTGGGGATATAATTAGAGATACATATCTATACAGACCCAGAGCTGGGAATCTATTGTAAGCACTGTAACATTAAGCCCTCAAGAATTTCCCATTTGAGGGGCCAGTATGAAGCTTGGAGTTTAAGACACCAGATTCCACACAGCTGGCCATGCAACTGTGTTGTTTGAGTCTTGGACTCAATGGCATGCCATTGAGTATGAAAATTATGCTGGGTGTGTGTCCATGAGCCCCCAAAATCGTAAGAGAAGGGGCTTAAGCATGCTGTCCTACCCCCATGTGTCTCTGGGGAGTACACATGCCCTATAGCAAAAATTAAAAAAGAATCTCCACTTAAATTATAAATAGTACTCACAAGTATGCAGGCAGTAATACTACTTAAAGAGATGCAGACAGCAAAAAATATATTCAACGGCTTTGGAGGTAGTTGAGGGAAAACAAATGCACTGATCAGTGTTACCTGTAGGAAGAGAAATTATGCAAAGGTCTTACTACTTCCAAGACTTGGTTAGACTAGAGTCAAGGCAAGGTAATACAACAAAATGCTTCACATTATAAAATTATACTTACCACCAGGTTTGCTTTCTGCAGTCAACACATATATTTAATAGAATATTTGTAAAGATATGTGAGTGATTTATGCTTCCTCCTTTATCCCTCTCCCTTACTTATGAAAGGAGACATCCAGTAGAATTGGCTAATTGCAAAACCTTTCACTTACAAAAATCGGAAGTCGTGGAAACTTCATTCCCAGGATTAATAATTACATTGGAAAATGCTCTAACCATTTTGCAGTTTTAATACTTCTACCAAAAGGGAGTATAATCAAAGCTGGTTTTGCTAAAAATTATGAAAAACACTGTAGATGGGTTTCTAATACCCTAGCATTCTCTATTTTTATCAGGTACAGCATTATGTTCATTCTTTTTATTAAGAAACCATGGAGAAAAGTACTAAAATTCCCAACACAGTTAATAGAAATATGCTAGACAAATGTCATTATCAGCCTATGAAAAAACAGCTTTTAAAAAAATTGTGATAGTACCCAACTATATTATTCAAGATAAAAAGCTATACTGATTAAATTTTTTTTTAATGGAGGAAGGAGGAGGAATCAGGTATGGAATGGTTTGTTAAGGCAACTGGATCCCACAAGGCTGATTATGAGGTATGAGTCCTGAACCAGTGGCTTGAGAAACTCTAGGCAGATATGCATACATGCCCAAAATCCCAAGAGAAGTGTGAAAATGGAGGGGAGAGGGTTGCAGCACTACCATCCTCTGTGGGCTGGGGATGATTTCTCATTTTCCCTCCCTCTTTCTACTAGGAGCACGTGCGCCCTGTGACAAAATATGTAAATATATATGTCTATGTCTACAGATAGGCTTATCTATCTATAGATCAATCTAGACACACACACACACACGGTCCAAAAAGTCGTAACACATTTTTGCGTAGAAAAATATCACAACTATTCCAGCAACTGTGTGTGTGTGTGTGTGTATGTGTATGTGTATAAATAATCTCCAGAGGTTAACAGATGCTCTTTAGGACACAAACTTAAGGTATTAACAGAAATAGGGAGCTTTGGTAGGTTATAACAGAAGATGGTTATGACAATAGTAGGCACTGACATTTTTACAAATTAGGCAAGCAAATATGACAGACTTGGTTATCTGAAAACCACGTTGTCTTCATTTCACACACACAACTGGGGAATGAGGGTAAAAATCAAATGAGCTACTCTAGTTGCCAACTATGATTTTAGGGTAATAAACTTGAAAGCATTAACAGGAACATTCCCAGTTAAATTAGTCCTTTTATTAGCCCCTTTATTTTTTTGGAGAATTAAACCACAATAGTTTTTCAATTTTTGCTAAGAACCTAGGTGAGGTACAAAATAAAGGTACTTACTAGAATCAATAAGGATGTCAGGATGCCAACAACTAAATTGATGATTCGATCCTGAAAGAAAAGTTTTAAAGCCATTATGACTTGGATTAGTGGCACTTTCAGAATGGTATGATGTGAGGCATTGGGGACTGGTTTACAGTGAAGAAACCAAGATTCTGACTGTCTCTGAGCTCTGCACACAAAACTGCCAGACAAGAAGTGTACAGAGCCATTTAAGAGTAGAAGAAATAACTTTGGGAAAACAAGGCCAATTGGGAAAGGGTTCTTGAAGGGACATGATTTTTTAGTCTTGAAGACTGGATGGAACAAGTGGAGAAGGCAGGCATACAAATAATCCATTTAAGGAATAGGAGAGCAGAAAGAAGAGGGCACTGGGGTGGCCATCCAGAGTCAGTGAAAAGTATCAGGACTCAGACTAGACCTTGAGTACAGTGATGAGTTTAGACCTGCATTTGTACTACAGCCTAAGTGTGCTTGTCTAAATACAGTTGCTACTGCTAGAAGGGATCAGAGTACCAATAACAAGTAATCTCAAAGACCACCTAGTCTGGTGGTTTTCCAGCTTACTTAATAGGAAAACAAAAGTAGAGGATCAGCAGTAGGGCGTAATGGCTATGTCGCTGGACTCCCATGTAGTCAACCACAGTTCTAGTCCCGGACCCAGTGGCTTAAACTCACGCCAGGTGCATGTGTGTGTGTGCCCAAGATCCCGAGAGGAGAATGGAGAAGGGATTGCGGTGTGGCTATCCCCCCAGGGGGTGATTTCTTGCTTTGTGTCTCTCTGTCTTTCTGGTAAGAGCCCGCACCCAAGAGCAAAAACCTCTCCAAAAAAATAAAAGTAGAATTGTTTAATTGAATGTAAAGCCTGATCCTACCCACTGAACTTTCTTGTCATTCCACATCACTTCCCAAACCACCTCCACAGTATGTTTTCAATAACTTGTGATCCAGTCTAATCCTAACTTTATAGGTTAAAGTAAATTTAGGTCCCATATTGGTTAAGGTTTTTGCTAGGATACCCACCAACTTACAATAGAAGCCACTTTGAAACCACGGGTTCCAAAACCCAGGTCACTGATTATGCGAAGTTTCAGCTCTAGAGACTAAGAAGTTAAAAATAATAGAATAGGTTGACAGTAGTTATAGAACTACAGAATAAACTAAGGGGTGAAGATCTAATGAGCAAACACTAAGGCCAATGAAAATACCAAGTAGCCAAAGTGAGTGAGTCTTTAAGGAATCAATAGTCTAAAAGATTGTTTCAATAACGTATGAGGAGAGAACAGCAGGATCTGGAAGGGGAGCAGCCAATAAAAATCTCAGTGATGGAAGGGCACAGAAACATCCCAGAGCAGCAAGCAAACCCTCATTTCCAAGTTGTCAGCTTTTAAAGATAAAGATCCAAAGAAGTTAGCAGCCAGGCCAAGCTGGGAGGAGAAATAGTGTAGAAAACCAAAGTATTGGTGTGCCTGATGGAACCATGGACAAACCCCAATTCTCTAGACCAAGGCTATACAATTCAAAGGTTACACAACAAAGGAAACTGGGCTCCAACCACACCCTTGCTAAACTTAAGAGGACTCAGAACACCACCTTAGAGAAGCCTACACAGTACACAGGAGTCTGAAATAGGACTATTTGCTAGTGAAGAGATGGGGCAGATCTCTAGTCATTAACTTGTACTCAAATGTGTGGGAGGGGCTGGCAGGTGGCATGGTGGTTAAGGGTGTTAGACTCCCACATGGCTGACTGCAATTCAAGTCCTGGACCTGGCAGCTTGCTTTCTCATTTTCCTTTTCTCTCTCTCTGTCACTCTCTGGTCAAATTAAAAATAAAGTTAAATAAAATCATTCTTAAAAAAAAAAAAGTGTGGGGACCAGCAGATGCCATAATGGTTATGTCATTGGACTCCCATGTAGTTGACCACAGTTTGAGTCTTAGACTTGACAGCTTGAAACTCATGCCAGGCGTGTGTGCATGTGTGCCCAACATCCCAAGAGGAGAGTGGAAGAGAAGGGATTGAGATATGGTCATCCCACTTGGGGATGATCTCTCACTTTGTCTCTCTCCAGCCAGTGCACACACCCTATAGCAAAAATATCTCCTAAAAAAGTATGTTCAACATAAAATATGCTTAAAGATACTATCTATAGGAGTCAAATTGTTTTTGCCTTAAGGGTAGACTACATTCTCCTCTGGTCTTTTCTGAGAAGTTAGGTTATCTGGGGCCAGCAGGTGGCATGGTGGTTAAGGGCACTAGACTCCCACATGGCAGACTGTGGTTCAAGTCCTGGGCCTGGTTGGTGGCCCCCCCCCCCAGTCAAATTAAAATAAATAAAAAATAAAATATTTAATAAAAAAAAAGATATCTGCTCTTCTTTATAACCTCTGGGAATTTGAAAAAGTTTACAAAGGCCTGCAAACCACTCCCCCACCAAAAGAAGCCAGTAATGAAATTCAGGTGAGAAAAGGCCAAAAAGATGAATTGCTAATTGCCAAATGATAAAGCCAAGTTGCCTGCCAGACTTAACGGGGGAAAAATTGGTGAAGGGAAAGTCAGTATGCAAAGAGCTTTTACATTATCTTCTCTTAAAAATTTAGGAATGAGGGCCAACCCCATAGTGCAGCAGTCAAGTATTGGGCAGAAGGAGCTGGAGCCCAAATGGCTGATCACCGAGTCCTGGCCTGGTGGTTTGAAAAAAACACTTTGGACATACTGAGGATCCTGACAAGATGGAGAAAAGGAGGGAACAGGACTGCAGCGTGACCAGTCCTTGGAAGTCTCACTTCTTCCTCTTCTCTTCCTTGCTCATCTTTCTTGAAATAAACAAAATCGGAGATAAAATGATCATATAACTTTTAAAAGTTTCTTTCAGGAGCAAGTGAGAGAAAACCCTTCGCAAGGTCTTAATGCCATGATCCACCCCCAGCCTTCAGCCAGTCCCAGGTCATGAGCAGGTGTGCCCAGGGTACTCAGGGAGGTCTCTAGATTTGAACTGAGAACATTCCTATGTGGGATTGCCTCACAAAATGTTGCATTTTACAACACCTGCATCACCATCTGGTCCTGGTAAAACTACTTTTACAGATAGCTAAACAGGCTCAGGGAAACTGAGAACTACCCAAGGTCTCAATACCAATAAATGATAAAAGCAAGATTCAGTGCCAGGCCTCCTTTCCCCAACAGAAGATTCCATTTATACATTTCACTGAACAACCTAGAATGCTACTGTCAGTTTAAACAAAGTTAACAAAAGACACATGGGTTTCAAAAGGCCTATTAGTAGGACCAGTAGGTGGCATAATGGTTATGTTGCTGGGTTCCCACATGGCGGACCATGGTTCAAGTCCTATACCTGGAGGCTAGAAACTAGAAACTCATGTGGGGCACATGTGCATGCATGCCCAAAATTCTGAGGGGAGAATGGAGGAGAGGGGACTGAGAAGGCATGGTCATCCCCCCTGGGGGGATGATTTCATGCTTTCTGTCTCTCTGGTGAGCACACACATCCTATAACAAAAATCTCTCTTAAAAAAAAAAAAAAAAGCCTATTAGTAAAGTTATTAAAGTTAAGTACTTAACTTTCAAGAATAAAAGACTTCCTCCCTCCTTGGTGTTTTCTAGATTATTGAATGTACCCATGTAATCAATTGTTCCAATGAAAATATATAAAGGGACTTCAAAAAGTTCATGGGAATATTTTTTAAATTATGCATGGATTTCAGGTATTTTTTGCCCCCTCCCAAAAACTCACACTTGAATGTCATATTCCACAAACTTTTTGAAGTTCCCTTTATATCTATACTTTACTGACTACCTCTCTGCTTGCCTTCTAGACGGTCACTAAGCAACATTCTAAGTCATCTTCACAAATACCAGCTATTCTATTATGCAATGGCTCTCAAGCTGTAGGATACGGCACCAATGTTTTTCACAATATTTTCTTTCTCCAGGCCCAAGTGTTGGCTTAAGGACTTCTGTTAACCATGAACCCAGGTCAAAAACAACAAAATTAACTTTAGAAGACCTTTTTTTCTCACTTCCTACTACTCAAATTATGGTGGGTGGACCTGCAGATTGGCCTTACCTGAGAGCCTATTAAAAATGTAGAACCTTGGGTTTTATCCCAGATCTCATGAATCTAAATCTGCATTTTAACAATAGCTCCTGGTAATTTATGTGCATATTTGAAACTGAGAAGTACTGCTCTAAAGTTTAGAGCCTAAGGGAACCAGCAGTTAGCATAATGGCTATGTCGCTGAACTCCCAAGTAGTCGACCACAGTTCACATCCCGGACCCGGTGGCTTAAAACTCACGCCGGACGCGTGTGCATGCGTGTCCAAGATCCCCGAGAGGAGAATGGAGGAGAAGGGATTGCGGCATGACCATCCCCCCTGGGGGGTGATTTCTCGCTTTCTGTCTCTATGTCTCTCTGTCTGTCTGGCGAGTGCACGCACCCTATAGCAAAAACCTCTCCAAAAAAAATAAATAAATAAAATAAAATAATAAAGTTTAGAGCCTAAAATGAGAATATTACGTTCTGGACCAGCAGATGGCATAATGATTATGTCACTGGATTCCTACATGGTTGACCACAGTTCAAGTCCTGGACCCAGCAGCTTCAAACTCATGTTGGGCATGTGTACATGCATGCCGAAAATCCTGAGAAAACAGAAGAGAAAGGACTGTGGTGTGGCCATTTCCCCCAGGTGGGTGATTTCTCACTTTCTGTATCTCTGTCTCTTATCTCTCCAGCAAGTGCACACACCCTATAGCAAAAATCTCTCTCAAAAAAATAAAAAATAAATATATATATATGTTCAAATCATAGGGTGGAGACCCTTCCCTGGGTTTTCACAACTTTCTGCTCTCAGTCTCCAAAGAGGATGACAGAGTATAATTAAATAGCTAGTTAATTAGCATTTCAAAGGATAGTTTGAGGACTAATATGTTCCAAATTAAAACCAGAGTACATGAAAAAAGTGAATATTGCATTAAAACTTTGCTGTTTGTAGAATAAACAAATGGGTTATTTCTACTTCAGCAGCT